TAGATCGACGGAAATTCCTCAATCATCTTGCTGTTGCCCATCACGCGATCTAACTTTTTCAAAATGCCATTACTACCCCTAGGTTTTTGATTCCAAGTGAAATTCAAACCATTTCGATTAATATCTTGAATGCCAAGACTATTGATGCAATCAAGAAAATCAACCATTCCTTTTGATAATCTAGAAGAGCTAGCCGAACTTTCATTAAGATTGAGAATAACATTAAAATCTCCTCCAAGAATCCAAGGTTCATTTCTAATAAAACTCTTGTAATGCAACAAAGAATCCCAAAGAGCTCTTCTTTCAATGTAATTGTTGGCCGCATAAACAAAGGAACAAAACACATATTTATTATTAGGATGAAAGTTAATCTTACAATGTAAAACTTGATCATTTTGATCAATCAAGTTCACATCACAAAGATTAGAATTCCATCCTATAATAATTCGAGTAGTACTTCCAGAATTACCCTTATTAGCAATCCACTTCCAAGATCCAAATTTTTTTTCACACTTCTCCATAAGCTTACTAAATCTGACTTGAGGTTCAAGGACAGCAAGTAAACTCAGCTTATTCATATTAATTAAATTCCTTAACTCTTTTTGCTTAGAGGATTGATTAAATCCCCTAATATTCCAAATTCCAATATTAAACGTCATTGGAACCAGCTTCCATTTTGGTATCATTCAAAGGGATACCACCAAGAACTTCCATTTGATCAACCGTATCCAAATATTCTAGATCAATATCATCAACCTCTCTTTTTGAGTTCCCAAATTGACCCTCCTCTTTTAAGTTCATTAAAATATCAAACTTGTTTTTTGAAACAAACTCCATGGAACCAGAATCAATAACATTCTGGTTATTCAAATCAAAATTGGAGCTAATTTTTATATCAGGACCTGATCTTGGAACATACTTTCTCACGGTTTCCTCTTTTTTCCCCAACTCCACATTATGATTAAGCTTTTGTTGACTTTTCCCCTCTGAAGCAAGACCTTCAACATTTTCTTTTTTCACATACTGGTTGTTTTTGCTACTTTGCCCCTGTTCATGTTTTCCTCCAAAAAAATTCCCATTCTTGCTATAATTTTTCCCATTATGCCCCTGAATTGCTTTTCCTTTATTCCATTGATTACCCCCATTATTATTCCCCATTTTCAATCCGCTATTCCCTTTCTGCCCCTGACTTCCAACATTAATTCCAGCCCCTTTTTTCCCATTTCCTTGATAATTCCCATTTGCCCCTGGACCGAAAAAAAAATTTTCTTTCCCATTTCTTCCTTGCCGAGACCTCCCATATTGTTCCCCTTATTCCTTTTACTTACAAGTTGAAATCCTTCATTATCTTCTTCCACTTTTTTCCTACTAGCAATGAGAACCTCCATTAGATCAATCTTTTTCCCTTCCTTATTTTCCTCATTCCCAGTCGCATTGTTGCTTTCCTTTGCGTGCTTAGCTAATAATATCCCACATTTAGAATCCGAATGTCCATAAACTTTACATTGAGAGCATTTTGAAGGATTCCATGCATATTCAATCTTGCATTTAGAGGGAATTCTTTCACCTGTTGTTAAGTCCGAAGAATAGATGAGCACTTCTTTAAGCCACTCCTTAGCTGCTGACATTTCAATTAAGATTCTCATAAAAGTCGGCCTTCCCCAATGTTCTTGACACATTGTAGCCGTGTGAGCATCAACATCTAAAGGCTTTCTAATTTCCCAATCTATATGGCTCAATCCTGTCCCATTCCAATACTCCAAGGGCACATTATATATCTTTACCCAAACAGGAATTTTATCATGATGGTCTTTAACTGAACTGACACCTGTGGTCCATCTTCGGATAATGAGAGCACTATCAAATATCATCCATACTCCCCCTTCCAGCACCGAAAGAAGACCTTGCTCTGAGCTGAATCTAAAAAAGTAAATCCCTTCATCATTTACCATTACCTCTTCCAAGCCATATTTCTTCCACATGTTGTGGGCAAACTTATTAACATTGAAAAAGTTAATGTGTTTATCAATAAAATACCCATACAATGTTGTTTTAAATGGGCTGCATCCTTTAAGAATGTCACTTATAGGCATTTCCGGAACACCTTCAGGAAGTTCAGCATTCTTCT